ACTCCTAATATTCTGTGATTCTGTGATATGATTGTTCCTTTCAGGATCCCAATCCTGCAAGCTCATGCAAATGTGTTTGACATAGAAGAGAAATTCTACTGCCTCGATGGGCACTCTTCATCCAGCTGGGAGGGACAGCTTTTGCTGGACTGAAGTCAAGATACTCAGCACACTGTAGACTGGATATGATTTACAGAATTGTGATTGTATTTTTTTTTCCCATCAAAATAAAATACTCCTTAGTTTAGCTGGTGATAGCATAAAGTGGGTATCCCACAATTATTCACAGCCGATGCCAGACCACTGATTCTGGACTGGTGTGATACCAGTGCTGTGATCTTTTAATGAGTCAACATGAATTTAAAATGCCTTTTTCATACTTTATGAAAAAGTTTATTCTAATAACTTTACTCTCAGCAACACAGTGCAATTATCTGCAAGTTTTACAATGTAGAGCTGTCCTGCAGCTGGAGAAAACCAAACATTATTATCCTGTATTTTAGCATTTAAAAATTAATTCATACTATTAACATTAAAAAAAAAATCGATTTTCAGATAAGTCAATTGTAATATGGAAAACATTTCATAAAATTGAACTGATTTAAAAATTAATTTTATTCAAAATTACTTTTCATAAAAACATGAGCCCTAAATATTAAAATTATATATTATCTTTTTTGTTACTTGTTTTAAAATTGAAGAATACCCTAAGACTGTCCAGCAGTAAACAGTGAAGTGCAGACCCTTGGACCAGCACTGGTTAATGTTGATCTAGAATGTGCCTTCACTCACAACTGGGAAATCTTACCTCTTTTAAAAGGCAAGCAATTATATGGAAATTCTAAATGCTTATAAATAAATTCATTAAAGAGAGATCTGCAGGTTTAGCTTTTCAGTGGAAAAGCTCCTGGGGCTCAGTGAGAGCTGAAGTCTCCTGTAAGATGTCTGTCTTCTGTGGTAGAGACAGAACATTTCATACTAACACCAACAAAGGAACTAAAGCTGCACTTCAATTATGCTTGTCTTGAGCCTGCATACGAGCCTTCATTCATGTGAGTGATCTCTATAGACCACTACTGTTATTCACTGACGTAAGTACTCTAAGGCTACGTTCTATGTCTGTTTTCTTGTATTGGTCTAATGACATGATAAATCACAAATAATGTTGGATGAAAAGTCCACTTCTGTTTATCGTTCAGTGTAAAGTGCTACATTTCCTTAGTTTACAAAATAGCCATTGATAAATCCAACTGAACTTCAGTTGATGTTACAGTAGAAGCTAGTACTTCATTTTCACCATTATTTAACAAAAGACATTTCACATTCACAGTAGATTACAATGAAAGAAGTTATTATCTTTCCTATAAAGGATTAAAATATAAGATTTAGGTGTACTTCAAAAGCCATTTCTTGAAAGAGAGCATTGGCCCTAAAGTGACAGGCAGTCTTCTTAAAGAAAAGAAAGACCGAAAGCAACATTGTTTAATAAATACTTAATGAGAGTGAATTAAATAGGACAAGTAGAAATAAATTCTGTGAGATGAGAATGTTTCCCTGTAAATACTAGAACCAACTTTCAGTCCCCCTAAAGAAAACAAGAGTGCTTTTGCTGTTGACTTCATTGGAATAGGAATTTGGCTACTGAAGTTCAAGAACTGTATAAAGTAGTGAAAGTGTCAAACTAAGCAAGTTGGCTACCCAGTGTAACCACTGCCTCAAGCTGCTATCGATCCCTTCTCATACCCTATTGATACTTTCTTCTGCATTCATTCTTTGCCAAATTCCAGTATGTATGTTCAGCAATATTATTAGCCAGTGCACGACTAGTGCCAGCCAAATTCACTCAGTGCAATCACAAACCAAGCCTTTTGGTGTTTTTAAAACCAGACATTCCAGAGCCCTACCTGTTTCTGTGGTGGTCAAAATGTTGGAGATTATATCTACATGACAGTGTGTGTAAACTAATGGTTGCTATGTAATGTTGCTAAGAAATGGGCTCGGTCTTGAGAAATGAAAATGAGACCTACAGCTATTGAGAAAATTGCAGGATCAAGCCCTCTCTTAGGTATTGTACAAACAACACTTGTTTAAATGGACTGTGTAATTTCAGTCCTGATGGATATGTTATATGTGAGCAGTGTTGCAATCTCTGCAAACTCAGTTAAGTAAACAACCTATGATATTGTTTTAACAGAAGGATAAGCTCAATCTCTATAAGTGTAATTTATCTCTTTGTCATATGTGTCATCTCACTACCTTTATTGCAGTGCTCTGAAAGTTCTGAAATCTCACCTTATCTGTACTATCTCATGAAAAACAAAGTGGCGAGACATACAGAATTAATTAGTTCCACTGTAATTTAAATCCCTCTATGTGAATTTTAGGCCTGAGGTTATGTACTGAAAGTACACCCAAAGCTTAAATAATTTTGGAAGAATATATTTTGTGCAGCAGAGAGTAACATGTAAAAAAATCCCCTATGCAACCACAATTCCAATCATCATGAAACAAACTTTTTCCTTACACTTAAAATGGGTAGGTACACATCAGGATGTATTTAAAGGAATGCTTTGTAAATCAACACAACCCAAAGTAATTTTGAAAGTTTAAAACAATTTTGCCCTAAATGCAATGAACATTTCCATATAAAATACTACTCTAGCTGGGTTGGGTTGAACAGTTGGCATCCAAATCTTACTATCTTTAAATATTAGTCCATATAAATTCCACTAAAATCTGACTGTAATTAACGATTCAATCAGACTTAAAAACTACAAACACTCCTCCTCCTGAAAACAAAGTTCCACATGTCAAAAATGGACAGTTACAGTCAATACCATGTAGACCATTTAATAGGAGACAGAGTGTATTGTTCAACCATACAAGATGTGGTCTGTGTAAAAGTCAGTTCAGGGGGCCATTGCCTTCTTTTGCGTACAGCATTGTTGTGCGCAATTGTCACAGTTTGCCAAGTCACTCTCTTGACTGATAGAACAAAATATAGCCAGACTCTGAATTTTTTGATATATCAGAGGTCAGACCATAGAATTCTTCAATAGCTTGAGCATCTATTTTCTGCAAAATAAATAAAAATGTTTAACGTGCTGTTAGGTAAAAGAAATACTAAACATGGATTAAACGACTGTACAAACACAAAAGAAAAATTCAGTTATTTGTTTCAGGGCAGGAATTAGCAAATTCTGTTCGCAATTTAAGCAGTGAAAACGCAGTGAAATGTGTGAAATTTCCAGAAACTCTCTTCAGGATATGCCCCATCCAATGTCCCAGTGCTTATTTTCCTCCATTGGATTTACTCCAGGGAAATAAGACTCAAGACCCTAGTTTTGCCAAGGTGCCACAGTGATGCAGAGGGTCTGCTTAGGAATGAACTGCAGTATGCTTAGGCAGAACCTGTAGTAGCTGTGGGTCAGATCCTGCTCTAGTTTACATCCAGACAAACCCAGACTGCAACACTAACTTTACCCAGTCCAATTTTGCCAAGTGATATTGCCAAGGATTGCAAAATAGTTCCTGGATATTTTAGGTTTTGATGAATTAAACTGATTTTATTAGATATGAATAAATGTTCCATAAATAATGAAAACATTCCAAATTAAACCTTGAAGGTTGATATTAAAAATGTTTGATGTTGCTCTGAAATAAAACAACCCCCTCTGACATTGACAGAGTGAGAACCTCCGGATTAATAATTTTGCTTGCAATCTTAGCTCCTAACAAAGTTGAACTAAATGTCACATTGCAACCAAACTGTGGCATTGCAGACTAGTAATCTATACCCAGATCTGGATCAGAATCTTAACCGCAAACACAGAACATAAACACGAATGTTGTGCTCATGACCTTCAGCATACTGACCTCTACAATGTCATCATCAAACAAGAGCCAAAATCCATGACTTTTCACAATAGTAATATAATGCCCCCGATTCGGTCCACTAGAAAACAAAACAAAATCACAAGAACAAGTTGTATTCCTAGAGCCCCAAGGATTTTTCTGTTTGTTTCATATCTGACAATATCCCACATGTGAGGAGCTTTGTTAAAGCTATCATTTTCATTGCCTTGACAAGAGACCAAGGTAATCTGCTGTAGGGCCTATGCGCTAGGAGTCTCTGGTCCTCACAGAGTCCTGGCTCCCAAGCTCTCTAAGTGGACTGATGGAGAAGGAGTCAGCTCCATTAATATAAGCCAATCTTGTGACTTTTGGAGGCTTGTACTTTTTAAACAAGTACAGATTTACTATGAGGGAGGGTGGCTAAGAGGTTCTGGTCAAGATGCAGGCAAGGTGGTGCAGCAGCAGGGTTTCTGTCCTCCCTCTCACTCTGCCCATGTTTTGTCAAGCACACCTCTGCCTTTGGCAAGTGTCTGGCAATAGCTTCAGATATACGAGAAAGTATCTTACCTTCCACAGTGAACAACAACAGCTACCAAGTCGTACATCCGATCTAAGTTGACAGCATCGCCAGATGTGTTGAAGAGACGTAACTCCAAAGGAAATACTACACGATAAGACAGCTTGGTATACCTGTGCAATTGCTCCATATACTTGAATCTTTTTAGGTGTAAGGCAAGAATCATTGGCAGCTTTTTTACTCTCATCCTGTGAAACCATTAGAGTGCATATGATAAGGACCTGAGCAGTTCAAAGCTATCCTGTCTTTCCTTAATGAGTAAATGTTTGCATTACAAAAGCACTTTGTAAGTAACAGTAGTCAACTAGCAGTAGCTTCTAGACTAAGACACATGCAATTGCTTTGAATCTGCCCATAGGTTGTCTTGCCCACACAGAGAATACAGTTGGGGTGTAAGGTTTCTAGGTATCTAAACACAGTAAATATCAAGGAGGAGGTTTGTCAAAGCCCAAGAGGGATGTGGTGACTGACATAGCCTGCTCTTTGCTTACCGTTTCTGTGCCTCTTGTTTACTGCAGCAAGTTTCACAGTAGTATTTCTGTTCACTACATAATGTCTCTGTGTTACTGAAGTCTCTGTAAATAAATACAGTTATCAGTTCTTAAAGGATCTTAACATTTTTTGACCCCCTCGTGCTGATGAACTGGAGCCCTAAAAAGACACACAGGATTAAATCCTCTCTCCACTGAGTCCAGTTTTCTAAAACCTCTAAAGCAACTGTATGGGGGTTTGCAAAGGCTGCTGCTGTGACAGCCCTGTATTAGGAGCTGAGGCCCTTCATATGATACAGGGGGAGGGTCAGGTATCTCAAAAAGGGATTTCTATCCTGGTTTCTTAGACGTCAAGGGGCTGCCTAAACTTAGGTGTAGTCGTTTTATCATTTTATGATGTTCTTCTGTAAAATAGGTTTGAATCCTCTTACACAGGAGAAGTAAATTGAAGCCAGTTTTCTACATCCTTTAACCTCTTCAACTGTCATCCAGAAGTAATTTCATTATACCTTCTTGCTGTCTTAAAAAGAAAGTGTCAGCTAGTATATAGGATTTTGTAAATCCCGGTCAAGTAAATATGCTCAGAAATGTTTCTGGATTGAGCTTTTCAAGTGAGAAAGGCACAGGAAAGCTGATTTGATAGTGCCTCTCCATTCACAGAAATGATTTCTCAGAATTCACAGTGCTGATATGCTTTGGAGCATAATTTTAGGTACCTAAAAGACCTTAACTGTTAAAAAAAATAACATTTTTTTTGGTCACCTCTAGTGTTACATCGCAGCTGAGCAGGTGTTTTGAGACCTGTGCATGTAGACATAAGCACCTATCTTCCAGTTTAAGCACACAGGTTTCTTGTGAATTTGGGACTTAACTAGATATATCTGAAGTACAGAATTGTGGTGTTGGTCGCACCTACATTGTACCCAATAGACTGCTGGACTCCAAACAAATTCAGACCCAGTCAGACCCAGTAAGCTCCATTTGACAATTGAAGTCCACATGAATGGAGGCTGAAGCCGCACTGTCTGCAGGTTCAGCCTGCTCTCACAGTAGGCAGCACCAGAATCATCTTACAAAGACAAAGGGAGGATTCTGGATGATTATTTTTTCCTGGCATCATCACCACAGGGGCAGATGGGAGAGCTGAAGATTATACAGATTGCCAGGGCACAGGTAGTAGAAGTTATTTACATAACTTCATGAAAGGAAAGGATTTTCCATTTGCAAGTTTTAAGTTCTTTAAGGTTTACAGAGAATGACAGAGAGGCACTTGATATGACTGAATAATCTTTATACTAACTGAGAATGCTTTTACTATGTTTTTTTCTTTATGTGGTCTTAAACAACTTTATCAGAAAGCACTGAAAGTTAGGACAAAATATATCTCTTGAAAGATAGGTTGTAATGAAATTTTGATCGTAGATATAATTTTTTATCTAAAAGAAAAATAAAGCATGATCACTGGAAAAAAATTTGCTTCAGTGGTAATCATTGTTCTCATAGATCTGATTTCACATTCAAATTTAAAGACAAAATTAACTGAATTCAGCCAATTTCTCTGAAAAACATGGTAACCTTTCACAGAAGTGAAGAAAATTTAGAAGATACTAAGGACAGATTATATGTGTTGGGTACATAATGCTGCAAGATTCAGTAGAATGTGCTTGTGTATGTTTTAGGTCTTCTATTAAGGAAAGAGTCTGTTGTTTATTTTCAAAGCCTAAAGTCTCAATTTAAAAATTCCAACAGAACAAAACACACAACTGATTTGTGGAATTTGTTTCCTTCCCACCTCAAAGTGAAGCAATGGAAATAATATTTTTCTAACATAAAGAAACACATACACATAGTAGAAATTTGATAGATATTTGTTCTATGCCAGGCCTCCCATGAAAATGAATTAAACGTGAAGATTTCCTGAACGTCTTTTAAAATGTATTAATTATTCTGAAACCAATAATATCACAGAACGTTAGGGATTGGAAGG